TGGGCTGGGGCTCCCCAGTACCAGCTCCTTCCACTTGACCGCATCCAGCAAAGAGCGGCTCGAATCATCGACGACCGAGTGCTTTCCGATCGGCTCGATTCACTGGCGCTGCGAAGAGATGTTGCATCTCTTTGCGTATTTTATCGCATCTATCACGGGGAGTGCTCTGAGGAATTGTTCGGATTAATCCCAGCCGCCAAATTTCGTGAACGCACTACACGGCAAACGTCCCGATACCATCCACACCATCTGGATGCTTGGCGGTCCACCACTGTACGTTTCAAAAGGAGTTTTCTTCCGCGTACAACCTCTTTGTGGAATAATTTACCACCGGTGAATTTTCCGGACCGATACGACCTGGGGACCTTCAAGAAAAGAGCTTACTCCTTTCTAAAGGGCCGGCAACGCACCTGCAATTCCCCTGGTGTTGCGGTTGATCATGGGCGGCGGTAGTCACTTAACATCAGGTGAGCCACATGCTCGTTTGCCCCCTCTTCTATAAAAAAAAAAAAAAAAAAAAAAAAAAAAAAAAAAAAAAAAAAAAGAAGGTCTCCATGATGAATTTGCATTACAATAGTAGGGTCGTGGGTTCGAACCCTATATATTAATGACTTATGAAAGTAAGGTCTATGATACAAAAGCAATACTATAGAAGGTCTCTATGATAAATATGCATTACAATAGTAGGGTTGTGGGTTCGAACCCTATATATGAATGACTTATGAAAGTAAGGTCTATGATACAAAAGCATTATTATTGAAGGTCTCCTTGATGCATAAGCATTGTATGGAGTAGTCGGGTGACCGACTGCTCCTAGTACTGTAGCAAAATGACTAGTCCTTATTAGGGACTTGAAAAGGAATATTATGGTGGCGTGTGTGCTGCTTCACGAGCAATTGGTCCGAGGTAAACTTGGACTCGCTAACCGATGTGTCCTAGACATATCACCTTAGTGCCAGTGGTAAGCGGGTTTGTTGTAGCAATACGGCTTTCCCGTGGACATCGCACACCCATACCGTTTGTGGGCGACGTCGTAGCGCATAGCGATGCGTCGTCTATCTTTCGGATTGGGATGAGTGTGTTTGATAGCACTTTTAAGTGTAACAAGCATACTCTACTTCATGTCTTAGTGCATCAGCGCTATGATACGTGGAGTTTTGTTCATTGGCGTCTTAGTAGCGTACTACTATGATACGTTGGTGATATTTTTTATATAACAACAATCTTAGTGCCGGTGGTAAGCGGGTTTGTTGTAGCAATACGGCTTTCCCATGGACATCGCACACCCATACCGTGTGTGTATACCAAATCGGGAAGTCTGCAGTTTGCGATCATATTCTAGATGGCCCCAACCATTACATCAGATTTGATAGACCACAAATCCTCGCGAAAGAACATCGATTCCTACCAAGGATGATACGTGAGGCTATTGAAATTAAAAAACATCCTAATTTCAATAGAGAAGGAGGCTGGGTACTACCACCTGCTTGGGATCCTATAATTAATAAAATTAAAACTAAACCCAAGCATACCACTGCAAGAAATCAAAATACAGTTAGTTCATTCTGCGTAGATCGGACCAAAGACAATAATTAAAAAGCTGAAGGTACTCCGGGTTAACTTTGACATCGGGACGTCAGTCACCTCAGTCCCCCGTGACCATGGGTGCTGGAAAGCACCCGAAACATCGGGTATTAAAATTAATATAAATAAAACGCGATAAAATCCGTAAAAGTAGTTTTAATCAATCTAGTAACGAGTCATTGATACTTGAACGTTAGCTGATCTTGTTTTTATCGTAGATTGTCAAGTTTAAAAAGTAACGTCCATGATTAATAATATTTACTGAAATTACTGTCTAATTTTCACTCACCAAGCTTGATGAACATGAATTTCGGTCCTGTATACGTAATGATATAAAAAAAACTCAGTTTCTGTTTACAGCATGACACCGTGAATAGATAATTCACCACAATATTAAGTTCATCACAATTAATCGAATGTAACTTTTTTGGCCCCGAATATTTTTTATAAATAACACTGACTGCACTTAGTCTAACGCCGATCTTCTTATCTCAAATGATTTCATGCACTTATATGGGATTAACACATTATTAATTAATTAATTACTACGGAGTCGATGTTAACCGTGGCAACAGCGCTCGTAAAACCTTCTATGGCTGATACATGGAAATTTCTCCGGACGATCGGGGTCGGTAAACCTACGTGTAACGTGGACCCTGCAATCATTTCTATAAGTGACCTAAACTTACATTTTTCTTTAACTACCCAAATGGAGGCTTCTGTTAAATCAAGTACTATTTCTTATTTGAATTCCATGCCACAATCTCGTAACTGCACATTTAATTTTTCTACCGTTGCTGATGAGGATATAAAAAAGATCATCTATTGTATTAAGTCTATGGCAGTTGGCTCCGATGATGTGAATAGACTCATGATCACATAAATTCTAGACAATGTTACTCGTGTTATTACTCACATCATTAATCATTCACTATTGACTGGGGATTTTCCTACACTTTGGAAAAAAACATTTGTTATTCCGCTGCCCAAAATAAATAACCCCAGTTCTTTCTTTCACTTTCGCCCAATATCTATTCGCCCTTTTTTTTCTACAGTTCTTGAAGCTATTGTCCACAAACATATTTCTTGTTACATTTTCAAAAATAATTTTCTTAGCGCATTTCAATCTGTTTTTAGGCCCGGGCACAGTACAACCACAGCTCTTTTGAAAGTTACAGAAGATTTTCGTACTTTAATGGAGACCTCAAAATTGACTGTGTTAGTCCTAATGGATTTCTCTAACGCTTTTAACCCTGTCGATCATGATATTCTCCTATCTGTACTTTGCTACTTGGGTTTCTCCTCGTCAGGACGGGACTGGTTCTCCTCGTATCTTCGGGGTCGTCAGCAGGCTATTCGAGTGGGTCAGATCGTCTCTGATTGGTGCTCGTTGTCTGCTGGCGTTCCTCAAGGCGGAATTGTCTCTCCTCTCCTGTTCACAGTCTTTATAAATCTCATTACATCCCACATTCGCTGTTCGTACCATCTGTATGCTGATGACTTACAAATTTATGCTCAAACTGAGGTGGCAGGTATCGATGATGTGATTAAGAAGCTTAACTGCGACCTTAACAGTATTTATTATTGGTCAGATATATTTGGTATTAAGGTTAATCCATCAAAGTGTCAGGCTATTGTGGTTGGTAGTTCTTGTAAATTGCCTAAAATTGATATGAAGGTGCTACCTCCTATAATTTTTAATAATGTTACTATTCCTTACTCAATAACTGTTAAAGATCTTGGCTTAGTTGTTGACAACACCCTCACTTGGCGACCGCATATATATGAAGTGAGCAAAAAGGTCACTCACGTCGTCTCAAGAATTTTTTACCGAAAGGGACTAAGGTGATGTTAATACAGACTCTAGTATTGCCTATTTTAGATTATGCAGATGTTTGCTATGCTGATGCCTCTCAAGAACTTCTAAACAAACTGGATCGACTTCTTAATAATTGTATAAGCTTCATTTTCGGTTTACGTAAATACGACCACATCTTCTCTTATCGGTCTCAGCTTAAATGGCTATCTCTCCGCTATCGCAGATATTTCAGAATACTGTGCACATTATTTTCAGTTTTACACGATCCGTTTGTCTGAATATCTGAAATCGACGCATCAACGCATCTGCATTTTGATTCGTAATCGAAGATACATGTAGGTGTCTATGGGCCACAGCATCCACTTACCATCAGGTGGACTGTATGCTAGTTTTTCATCCTACTCTATAAAAAATACAGGGTATGCCCTGTAGCTACTCGAGCGTTGTTGTGGAGAATTTTTAAACTGTTATTTACTGCTTACAAATGGACATATTTTTAACTATTCTCCTACGGGAGATTGTCCTCCTTACCTTTATACTCCATGCATTAAAAGAAACTTCGATGTAGTTTTTGATTGATTCAGTGACAGGAGTAACGGTAAAAATAGTATGGTTGTGACGTGAAAGGACAACGTTATTTTGGAGCGGCGTTATTATTTTATAAAAAGTCACCGGACTTTATAGGCGGCTGATCCATATCATGGACTGTGACCGTAGACAGAGAAACCTATAGACAAATTGACGCCTTCTTTCGAATTCGCACACAAAAAAGATAGATTTATGCATACGTCTTGCATAGAAATGAGACAGAGCGGTGTGATTGTTTGTCCCTTTCTCCGTGCCGATTTTTTTGTTTAGCAAACTACACTTTGCTGAACAACTTTGAGAGTTCGTAGCGATCTAAGGAGTTTACAAGTTGGCTTAAGTGAGAAAAAAGTGTTTCGTGAGCTTAAGATTGGTGAATCTTGTTCAGTTCAATTCTTAGAACAATTAATATTTTTATCTAAATATGTTTAAAAGTCATAAAGATTATTGTTTAACCTAAAACTACGTTATCGTCCTTTCTCACTCGAGGCCACGCTAATCATTAGTCTATAAGTTTCACTGTCTACGACTGTGACATTATTTATCACTTATCAAATTATTAATTATCTGTGACGCTACACCACAGATACGATATAAGAATAAGAAATGGTTTTAAAATTTGCTTACTTTTAAAGTAATAGAATAAGTTTAAAATAATTATGAAAAATTATGAGTTTCTATTAGTATTTACTACTGTTTATAATATAAGGCGTCCTACAATCTACATTGAATTGAATCGTATTTTAAAATGGCGGAATCCATGATGGCTTCTATTTCTTTTATATTTGAAAAGCAATTTGCAAAGTATAGCTTTCTCTTTCTATCTTGCAGAAGTGGCCATAAATAAGTGGGCACGCGTAGTGATCAATATGTCCACGTGACCTGTCTTCACTTCACCTTAGTCTCGTACCACTTGCAACTCGCGTAATTGCAAATGCAAAATGTGGAAAAGATTATTTTGTAGAAAAGTCATATTATATTGTGGTTAAGTTATTGTGTTACGTTTTCTAAAATGCCACCATCAATTGGTGTTAATTTACGCGTTACTGGCCACTGTAGTCAAGGCGGGAGAAAGTACATGGAAGATTTGTTTTCCGTTGCCTATCAACAAACGGAAGACGAACGGGATTTGGAGTATGCTTTTTTTGGAATATATGATGGTCATGGCGGGAGTGAAGCAGCAGCTTTTGCTAAAGAGCATTTAATGGATTCTATTGTTAAACAACGACAGTTCTGGTCGGATAATGATGAGGACGTTCTGAAAGCTATTCGAAATGGTTACATGTTGACCCACTTGAACATGTGGAAAGAATTAGGTAAATATAAATTTTCAATATGCACGCACCAGTTTTGTTTTACATAATATTGTATCTTTTTATAAATCCTGATGACCTGAGTTTCAAGGAGAGATATCGGTGATTGTACGAATGTTTTACTTGACCTTGTTGTATATGCTCACTATTTTTTCTAGAGTGCTTTGACATTGAGCAATCATTATGGTTTCAATTCAAATGGTTTATGAAGATACCGTTTTAAGTGTTAAAATAACGCTGACGACAACAATCTTATATAGTATTATTGCACAAGTTTTGAGGATTCCCACACATCTTGTAGAAGTGAAAGCAGTTTTACCAGTTTTACTTTAAATCAGTTTGTTTCCTCTTGCCAAAATCATGTAGTTATAGAGAGGTCATCTCAGTCACTATAATATAATTCTGTCAGTATATAATAAGATTTTGTTATATAATATGGTAATGCCTTTTTTTCAGAAAAATGGCCCAAAACTGTAACAGGGTTACCAAGCACTGCAGGTACCACGGCCAGTGTGGCTTTCATTCGTCGTGGCAAAATATATATTGGACATGTAGGTGACTCTGCCATTGTCTTAGGATATCAAAAAGATGGTTAGTTTTATTAATATAAGTATTCCTAAAATATGCATCTATCTTAATTCTATCTTAGAAATATCAGCATGAGATGTTCGAATTAACAGAATAGGGAGATAATTAAACTTATGGTACAACCTCTGACTAAAATATTTTGTTGAGGACAGTAGAACTATGTTTGCATCCAATAATTACAAGCTGTTTACATTATCATAATCCTTTAAGGTGAGAATTAAAGAGTAGCCTTCTTTATTTAAAGTTTGTTACGAAATGTGTCTGTGGCTACTGCTAACTTGTTTATATTATTGTGAATTTATAGAAAATGGAACAAGTAAAGCTGACCTAACAAATACCAAATAAAAGTTTTACATGATTATACTGTATTGCTGGTTGCCAACTCTCCCACCTGGCATGGTGACTGACAAATATCGCCCTTATGAGGAAATGTATGGGAGAGGCATTCAGCATTAAACTTGGATAGGCTGTATTCATTTCAAATGTGACTTCTTTGTTCTTATTAGTAGGGTCCCAGCTAACCGTAGACGCTAGCTGGTAGCCTGTAATGTATGAAAAGAAAATGCTCTGTGGGATAGTACACATAAAATAATTAAAAATGGCTTGTTTGATATTTACAAAAAGGGCTTTCATTAGCCTTGATGATTTCATATAAGAGATTTAGCTTAACTTTTTGCTATTGTTTTCTTTGATTATGGTTTAATTATAATTTGAATTATGTTTTCAAAGAAATTTGTTGGACAACATTTTCAGGATGTGAAGAATGGGGTGCAAAACCATTGACCTCAGATCACAAACCAGAATCAACTACTGAAATTGAAAGGATTCAAAGATGTGGTGGCAAAGTTATTACAAAAGCGGGTGTACCACGGGTTGTTTGGAACAGGCCTCGTGTTGGCCACAAGGGACCAATTAAAAAGAATACTCCAATGGATGAAATACCGTTTTTAGCTGTAGCAAGGTCTTTAGGTGATCTTTGGAGCTATAATCCTCAAAATGATGAGTTTGTAGTGAGTCCTGATCCAGATGTTGGAGTGTTAAATATTGACCCATCTAAGTTTAGGTGAGCAGATGTTTCTTACGTAAAATATATAATCATCATAGTTATAATTTTGGTAATTTTATACTATTGCGGTCACCTTTTTTTTGGTTCTAGAAAATCGAAAAATCATCCGATATCGATGACTTTTTTTAAAATCTTCGTCTTTATGGAGGATTTATAGAAAAAAATATGGAAAATATCTCACCTCAAGATTTCATATAGTTTTATGACTTTACATGTGATGTTAATCTACACAAAAACACAAACATTTAAAAAAAGCATTGATAAATGTTTGTTTATTAATTTTTTATCTCACTTTAAGTTTTTGACTCTTTAACAATCATCTGATTTTGATGAGTTTTTTTTTAAAAATCTTCGTTTTGACGGAAAAGAACAAAATGAAAAGAATTAACTATGTATTATATTCAAAAATAAATCAATTCAAATCACTGCCAAAGATTGCATAATTTTTTCCAGGATAATATAAGTTATTATCCTGGAAAAAATCTTTTAACAAAATAAAAAAATTATGCAATCTTTGACAGTGATTGCTATATCTCAATCTAAATAATGCACATCAAAAAAACTGGGAAAAAAATTCTTTTTGAAAAAATATCACATAATAATGTTTATTTATTAATGTTTTAGAGAAGCGAGCTCGAGACTTAGGGCATCCCGACTCAGACAGGCTAGATTTTTTTTTATAAACCACTCAGAATTAGTGTTCGTGTGGCGCGTGTGTGGCGTGGTGCTTCCCTCCCCCAATTCTCTCCCGTAGTGCAGACGAGGTAAGCCCGGTCGACGGAGCCCCGCTTCGCGGGTGGTGGCCTACTTCTGAGTGGTTTATAAAAGAATAACCACAGAGATGGCGGAGTCCATTCGCTCGCTTCGTTCGCTAATTCGACACCATCTCCTTCTCCTTCTGACCTAACCTGTCCGATTCAGGATACCCTAAGTCCTGAACTTGCATCGCTCGATCTTACACTCAAAAAAAAAAACAAAATAAATTTTTTATAAACAAACATTTTAAAATTTTTTTTACAACAAAATTCTTTAAAATAACAACTTCATTCGATTATTTTAAAAGAAGTTATTAACAATCAAACGTGAATGAGTGCATTTTCACGAACATTTAAAAACCTTGAAACCTTGAAAACAAACTAAAAAGAAAAAAAATTATATATATATTTCTTTCTTGTAATTTTTTTCGTAAATCCGCCGTAATAATGAAGAATTTAAAAAAATTCATGAAAATCGGATGATTTTTCGATTTTCTAGAGCCAAGAAACGAGGTGACCGTGATAGTATAAAATTACCATATTGTTTTGTTGTTAGTTATATAGTTACTTTCTCGCTTAAAGGCTGAATATAATAATTCTGCATGAAATCACAGCTAGCGTGCCTGGAACAATACCACGGGGACTTTGACAGTATGATAATTTAAGTTTATTTTTTATTTTTATTATGTACTTATAGTTTTTAATATTGTATAAAATGTCAATTTTAAATGTAAATAAATAAGTTATTAATTTAAAAGTATTTTTTAAAATTGTAGAGCAAAAATAGGTGTTACATTTGTGAATACATTTTAATACTCATTGTTTTAATGATAATTGTGTATTGTGTATACAGTTTACCATCATGTATTTTATTTAAAATCTAAATGTAATTGCTTAAGACTGCTACGAAAAAAGTTTGTAATAGTTGTAGACATTTTTAACAAATAAGTTAACATTGTATTATATTTTTAGGTGTTTAATTTTTGGCACTGATGGCCTATGGAATATGATATCGCCAGAGGGAGCAGTAAGTTTAGTTCAAGCAACGGAACGCCATAATGAAGCTGGATTAGTGGGAAGCAATGGAAGTCAACCACGAGATTGGCTTAATCCTTCAAAGAGTCTAGTTGACCATGCTCTAGAGAGGTAACTATAAATTTTTGTAAATTTCCTGTAGTTATATCTGGTAGTTTTGGACCATATTTTGTAGCTTTTCTTGGGTGAAGTTTATAATTAGCAGTGTTTTTATTAGAGGCTAATGATACTGATATAAAATAATATCTACTAAACCAAAAAGACAAATAAAAAAGGATTGGGAAATAGAGTGAGAATATTGTATTCTTTTTATTTATATGTTTGGTAATTATTTATCATTTCTATTTTTACAAATATATTGATACATATTAAAAATAAAATATGTTCTTCTTCTTTCTATCAGAAAATAATATTGATTGGATCGACAGGTCCAGAAATTACCCTTTTCAAACAAATGTAAAACCAACTATGTACCTTTTTAGTGTAGATAATGGTAGTGGTACTTTTAATAATTATTTTTAAATATCAAGATGATACTGAGATTACGTTATTGTTTGATATATGTATACATTTTCATTTTAAAATTATAATATTTTTATTTGCCCCAAATTTCCTACATATTTTGAGTACAGTACTGTGATTGAAGTCATCTAGTAAGCTGTAAGCAAAACAAATACCTTTGATAGACATCTTTGCTCTTCCACAGTAACTAGTAATTTACTTTAATGTATAAGTAACCTTCATATTTTAAAAAATGACGGCTCAGTGGCGCAGTAGTTTAGCGATGAGTTATAGCGCTGAGGGCCGCGGGTTCGAATCCCGCATGGAACAAGTATTTGTATGGCCTACAAGTAATTGTATGTAAACTGCCTCCTTAATACAGGAGAAAATCTTAATGTGTGGGGTAATGTTTAAAAAAAAGAAATAAAGAAAGGAATTGTGAACAAATTCCATCTGTCTGTAATATGTGTTCTCATGTTCAATGTGAATAAAATTTATCTATAATGAATTGAAAGTAACTAGTTAAAAATATTTGTTTATATTGTTATGGATTTAAACAAATACAATTATAATTAACGTTATGTGTATGGTGTTGTAGATGGTCGAATACTCGCATGAGAGCAGACAACACGTCGGTGGTGACATTGATGCTGGACCCTCCTGGGCCGCCGCGTGCCACGGTGCTACGCTCGCGTGGAGCCCCCCTACCACACTCCACCCTGCCTGCCCCCACCAACACCCCCGCATCAGACCCCGCACCCGTTCCTACGCCTGCCCCTGCTGCGTCTGTCACCACCGCCTCACCCGTGCACAGACCGGAACCCACTAAGCCCGACGCCGTCGAATCCGATACGCGACAGGTACCGCAGAATGGACTTACGATCATGACCAGATACTCCGACGTAGACAGACCTGCCCCGTCACCGGAGACCTCCGAGAGAACTCCTCTGCCCCCGTGCGCCACGCTGGACGGCCGGTTCTCAACGACGGCAAGAGAGGAACACCGGCGCGAAGAAGACGAGGATAGCGCGATCACCAACTACGGCAACCCGTCCGAGTCGTATTTCATGGCGCGCTTATTGAACCGGACTAGAGTCGTGAACACGCTGTCGGAGGTGTATGAGGAAATCGCGAGCGGAAGAACACGCGAGAGCTCTGAGAAGGGATTGCCTACCACGGCGGTGTTAGAAGGTGGGGGGGACGCGGGGGATGATATCACGCGTCCGCTCGAGCCCGAGCGAGTTACGGACGCTGGAGACGTGCTGCCCGTAGTTGACGAGCGGCGGGAGCGAGATGGCAGCATCCAGATCAACGAGGTGTCGTCCAGCTCGCCGAGTGAAGCACCGCGGCCGCGCGGGCGCAGATCAAAGGCGGAGAGACGCGAGGTCGCACCGCACGATCGCGTGCTGCGCTCGCACCACGAGCACGACACTCGCCCGCACACGAGACAAGCGAGCATCCGCGCACCCCCTCCCCTTCCCACGCTGGATCGCGTCGTTATACTGACACGCCGCGCTCCGCAGGTTGCGACTACACCCTCTCCCGCCCCAAGCCAGCCGGTTGCGTGCGAGAGTAGACGAGCGACTCGTTCGCAGGTGGGGGGGGCGTCGCGCGCGGGAAACTGTGCGCGCGCCCCGGGGCCGGCGCGGCGGGCCCCGGCGGCGCACTGCAAGGAGAACCTGTGCGGGGGGGGAGCGGGGGGCGCGCGGGGCGGGGCGCGCTCGCGCCGCACCTCCCGCGCTGGCGCCGCCGTCCCCTCAGGGCGCGCGGCCACGCACGCCGCGCCGCGTTGACGACGCGGAGGTGCACTCGACGACGGGCTGGGCTCGGGCGCTGCGCTCGCGCAACGACGCGGAGCCCGCGCCGCCCGCCGGCAAGCGGCCGCGCTGCGAGCCCGCGCCCGCGCCCGCCCCAGCGCTGGGCAAGCGCGCTGCGCACTGGGCGCCCGCGCTCGCGACACGTAACCGCCTGCGCCGCCGCCTCGGCAAGTAGCATCGGACTCGGTGTGGTGTTGAGTGATATGATGTTAAAACATGTTACCTGTGAGTGCGCGCCGGTGCTTTCTATTATTGCCGAAGTGCTCTTTGACCGTTTACATTTTGTTAGAGCGCGACCCGCGCTGCGACTCGATATATCCAAAGATGACCGCCCTAGTGCAGTCAAAGTTCTGTTGTTATTATTTTCTATTTTATCACTTGACCAAACGCGCTCTTTGGAGGTTGTATAGCTTTCTCGTTATTAGTCGCTCTTCGTGGGACGCTCACACTTCTCAGTTGTTGCGAGCCGACGGTGCAGTGTTAGTGTTTCTATCACCGGTCGACGGTCAACAATAGTACAAAGAATTTATTGAATAGTTACACGTAAGACGAACACGAGGACCACGCTGGATAAATTAGCCCAAATAGATATTTATTTTATCGATATTTATAGCACTTATTGTATGCATTTAACTTAAGGATAGCATGGAAATTTGATTTTCATTGCGCTCATGTCGAGTCAGAGGCTACGTTAAAAATTTCAGATGAATATTGTTATACATGCTCTATTGTGAAATTTATTGAAGATGGAGGATGTTCGATGTGTTATGGACGCTCTCTGCGACGCTACCGAGATATAGAAGATATAATACCAAGAGTGCTTTTTTCAAAAATCGAAATATTTATATAATGATAAAAATATTTAGCTAAAATTATGCAAAGTAGATTTTGTACAGTAAACTACACTAAATTCTCTTATTTTTTATATAATTAGCAACATGTAAGTTATTCTTTTGGGAAAAGAATTATGTTTAATGATTTTGCAGACAGAGATCTATTGTAATATGAATTGATGACAGTAAGTGTGAATTGAGATAGAATAAGTAGCCTTAAATATTTTAATATACACCAAACAGAAGTAATAATTTTGGATCGACATATCCTCACTATTTTGCCTTATTATTATTATAGTTTGTGTTTCCTGTTCCTGAGTGGGGACAGGGAGCCGGTGCATTGTGTTATTTGTGCAGGTGTTTCCTGTAAAATCTATTACTTATTAAGGATTTTTTTACCAATCTGAAGCTTCTATTTTGTTACTATCAAAGTAAAATATATTGTGATGACGAAACCATTGATTTATTTTTACAACCAAACCCATAATGGGTTGTGTGTTACTGCAATTTTGTTGATACTATAAATTTCATTATTATTAAATTATTTAATAATGAAGTATTTAGAACTAATTGACATAAAGTACCTAATTGTGGACTGAACTTATTATAGTTATGTATTTTAGAGATCAGTCCTAGGCTTACGTACATATTTGTACTTTGAAAGGAAATATTGTAAAATAAATAATGTGCCTCATTTGTTACCGACTTAACAGCAAATAAATAGGTGAAAGTGTTCTTTGATAAAATGAGATATAATGTATTTTTTTATTAAAATAAATTTTATGCAGTGTAATTTAGTTGTAAAAGAGGATCTAATATAATTTGTTAAGATAATTATGTAACAAAGGTTTAGTGAATTTTGTTTGCTGTTATTGAATTGTAAATGCAAGAGTACATAAAAAAAGAGAACCATAGAGGAGAGAGAACGAAAGGCAACAAGTGCAATATGATTCCAACGTAGCAACAAAACACAAGCCATATAAAGGCAATAAAGTATCCAAGTGGGACTCTTCATAATCATGTAACACTGTCAGTTTATGTTCTGTTCAATGTGTCATTAATTTGATTTCAATGAAAGAATGTTACGTATACAAAACGAGTTTGTATTCGAGGGTAAAATAAATGCCTTGTGTAGGATACTAGAACTGTGGTGGTTACAGCAATCTTTTGATAAGGATTGGAAAACTAAAGCAAATGTTATTACTATACATATTAACACTAAAGTGAAAGATTACTGTAGACTTTATTTTTTGATTTAAATAAAGTTTGTATAAAATATATGTGATGTATTTTAATATGCACATTAATTCAAACGCGAAATGCGGAAGCCGTTCCCGAACTTCCCGCAGTCCCCGTTACGCCGGGATGAATGAGTATCAGCCCGCCCTTTATATTTACGTACCATCTGTCGCTCGGGAAACGGCACTCACCCTACTATTTGAACTTGTTAGGTTATAGTTTGGGCGCGCTCTACTCTAGCGTCTTGTCGCCCCTCGCCGACCGGGGCCGGTCAGTTACGCGACGAACGTAGTAAGTGCCGCATCACTTTAAAAGCATGTTTATTGTGAATTTAAAGTTTATAATAGTGTAATTTGTTAATTTACGTAGGGCAACAATACGAGTGAATCTTAATTTAAATACGAGATATAAAATTCGACTATAATAAACGTTATTGACAGCGAAAAACGCGGGAAACGGATATAGAGATAGAGATGTTTTAGTGCGTTCGGTTTATCGATCGTGTCTCGACACTGCATTGCGTTCTTAGGGTTGATAATTATTAACATACAACTAACTCTGTTTACGTTTTCTATGTTGTTTACTTAACGGGATGTTAATACTAGTCAAAGTATTAAAAAGATAATTATTTATGAAATATAATTAGACTCAAGGGTGGATGATAGAAAGTAATTCAGATAAGTTAAAATACGCGACAATTTTCTTGGTTTTATAAATGCAAAGTTTCAATAGTTTTTACATGTGGTAGAGCAATGTTGCAGCTACGTTACAGTTTCAGCACGAATGGCTCGGCTCGACCGGGGAACGATGACGCTCTCACAAAATACCAGCGTAAAATGGCATATCTATGCTCGTGTGGTGAGTAGAGAACCGAAGACCGTTTTTACTGGATACGAGGTAATCCATCCTAGTCCTCAGGGGTGACAACTCATCTATCTGAATGTTGATTTTTAATCGAAGATAGATTTAGATGTCTATAGACCACAACATCTAACACCATCATGTAGGCTGTGGCTGTGTGCTCGCTAGTTACCCTTATTCCGTATTAAACAAAGATGTTCTCTTACGACAGCGACGGAGCGACACATTATTATACACTAATAATCAGTGTGTTCGCATCGCTGTAATCGTCCAACTGGCTCTGCTGGTTTTTTTCTATTATTACTATATTCGACAAATGTTTGACTGTACGATCGACTGTTTGTTACATTTGCATGTTTTTTCCTGCCATTTTATAAATTAGCTTTGAAAAAAGTAAATTATTGTTAAAATATAAACACAAAACCGGATCACAATGATCATTTTTAGATAAAATTGAAGTGATAAGCGAACTAACATTCCACCTGATGCTGAATTAGCTAGCTAGCGTTGCTAGGGTTGCTAGATCGAGAAACCAATACCTTTGGACTGGACGATATCCTAAGATGGCTGTTTAGCCATCCATAGCCATGTTTAATAGGCTTTTGATTCATATAATAAAATCAATAAATGTGTACCTACACCAGCGCTTCAGTCAACTTCGGTCCTCACGAGTGGTCCTTTCAAGAGAGCATAAATTGCTTTGCAATTTAGCGAAACATTTTACCGAAAAAGCTAGACAATCCAGCGAACCATCTGGCTACTATAGTCCCATCTAACTATGAGTGGGAGAATAAAAGCGGTACCTGTGCTTGTGCATACTCGTGCACTGTCATTGAATAAAACACCAACATTCATTTGACAACTAGACAATCATCAGTGCCATCCTGTCCAGATAGCTAGTTTATCTTGAGATTAACCACCGTGATCGCGATTCGGTCTGGAGGCCATTATACTGGGCTAACTAGGAAGTCATGTTCTCACTCAGTATTGTACGGGAGGGGGCTTACTACCACCTCGTTAAAAAGCATTTTGGTGTTTCTGCTTTAGTATCTAAGTGTTGGCGGATTGCTCTTGTCCTCGCAATATTGTATTCCTCAGACATACAGGTTAACTCGCAATGTTTTCTTTCATCGCCGAAATTGTTAGTTGATTGTTTATTTAATTAACAATTTAATTGGTGTCGGAGAATCAAACTGTTTTTACTACGTGGTAGAGCCGCACTTTACGTGGCAGGGCCACGCTGCATCCACAATACCAGCGTAAAATAGTAGCTTAATGCTGCTGAGTTTCGTATGGTGAGTGTAGTGAACCGAAGAGCATATTTACTGGAAACGTGGCATTCCAGTCCTCAGGGGTGACAACGTCTGCATTTTGATACTTCATTGAGAATAAATGATGTCTATGAGCTACCGAACCCACTTAGCATCGGGTGAACTGTGTGCTCGTTTCTCGCCCTTATTTCATACAAAAAATAACGGAGCGATCTTTAAATCGATATTAGCAGTTGATATCCGATCTCTCTATTCACATATTATAACAGTAAATGCAAGTCTGTTGACAAAGCGCGTATTTACGGTCCAGATACAGTGGCTGAGGTAAAAGAAACTTTACACGGCCCGCTGGCCACGGACAAAAGCTGTCAGCGAAAACAATGCCTAAGCACCTGCTGTATGTGTACAATTCATAGTAAGATACTATAACAGCTGTCCAAGAAATACGACTTCTGTTTAGTTCAGATCAATCAGCTGTTGAATCAATACTACGATGGTCAAGTACAGTACACAGATTGTTTTGAACATTAAATATATAAAACAAGTTCTCTTTCAACTGCGAGTAATCCAGGTTCGGCCTGAGGAAATTGTTTATTGCAATTTTAACGTGATTTACCACGCGCTTGGTGGTAAAGAAATCATCGACAGGATTCCTGCCTGTTTTTTTTTTCTTACTTATTACAGGCCACTGCTTGACACAATCGCACGTGGTGGTAAGTGGTGATGAAGCCCTGGATAGTATATCGCACTATCTCAGCGTAAAAAAAGCCTA